CCGCCCCCACCCAAAAAACGGTGTGAGTGGTACTAAACATTTCCCCATTAATTTTGGAAAGAAATACCATATAATGTATGTACTCTGGTTAATAATATCAAAAAATTTATTAGAACCACGGTTAATGTTATATTTGATACAAATTAATATTGCTGCCCCGAACGCTCTGCGCCTTGCCACTGAATACTTGTTTACTTAAAATTACATCCCTGGTCCTTGTTCTTTCTGTATCGCATCGTGGTGAATTCACATTTCTCAGAAATTTGACAACAAAACAAAACAAAGCGAGTATTTTATTTGCTAATTTTTGCGATTTCTATTGTTTAATGTAAATTTATGTCTTTTTAGGATATGTCGAGCCAACAAAGAAGGCGCAGTTGGAAAATTGAGTAATTAGTAATGAGGTAGCAGGCATATTTTGAAAATTATGCCGATAAGCAGGATGGAATTTGGGAAAGTAAGTGCATGGTTGCAGCATATCTATGTATAAAAAGTATTTAATTAAATTGTTTATAGAAATGTTATAAATCGAGTGGCTCATTTACGATGTGCTCCGAAGATTTGGCGAACTTTTTTTCGCCTTTTCAACGTGCTAAGTAACAAGTTAAGAGGACTGCCATCACGGCCGGTAAGAAACCGCAAGCAAAGGGCAGACAACCTTCCAGGAAGCTGCCTCCTGTCCCCGAGTCGAAGCTGCAGTTCAGCAAGAGCAGGTCAGCAAATTGCTACCCTGATCAAACGTAAACTAAAGCGCTCTGCTGTGATTGCACTCCGTAAACGTGAAAACTTGGTGCATGCTGAGACATATCAAACAAGAAAACTCCGTGATGGACGCCGTGAGATGGAGGAGCGCTGTGTGGCAAAGAAATGCGGCCAATTCGACGGGCCTGAAAAATCCAAATTGGCTTTTGTGATCCGCATCCGCGGTATCAACAAAGTTGCACAAAAAGAGCGTAGTTTTACAGTTCTGTCTTCGCCACATTAAAACCGTGTGTTCAACAAATTGAGCAAGGCAACCATTAATATGCTACGTATGCCGAACCCTATATGGGGTTATCCAAATCTTAAATCAGTTCGTGAATTGATGTACAAACGTGGAATGGTCGAGCGTGTCCCAATCTCTGCTTTGTGGTCGAACGCAAATTTCGCGAAGCGCACGAAATTCAATGCGTTGATTCACTTCACTTCAAGAAAGCCCCCAACTTCCTGTTGCTATTCAAGCTCAACACATCAACCCGAGGCTGGCGCAAGAAGGCTAATCACTACGTTGAGGTTGGTGATTTCGGTAGCCGTGAGGATAAGATCAACAAATTGCTGCACAAGATGGCTTAAAGAAATCGTTGTTTTGTATTTAAGGCGACAATATAATTTGGCACATCTTCAAAAGACGCCCAAGCAAAAAAAAAAAAAAGAAAATTAAAAAATTCCTGAAGTTGCCTTTTCACGGGTCGATTTCTGTCGACTGGAAAATTTACTTAAGATATCGACTAGCCAAAACGCTTACATAAAGGCAGCTTAAATAACGTTCAAATTAATCATCCCCTTTGAGATGGGAAATACCAATAAACATTTCATAATTTCGAAAATTATTCCATTTATATTTGTTCTTGCATTTTCCACACCACTTGTGAGGTATGCTTTTACGCGCGGAACCGATTTTTTTTTAATGTGCTCGGTTGCCCAGGAGGCCTATTTTCACCTTTACAACTCAACTTAAACAGAATTAAAACTAAAGCATGCAATATATAAAGAAAATTAAAAGTTGTCTTACATCTAGTAAACTTAAAAAATTGCACATTAATTTCATTTTTCATTATAAAATAAAATTAAATATTACAATTCCGTTGAAGTGTATACATATGTACATATTTACAAAATGTGGTCTGTTTGCACCCACAGTAAGTTCCCATGAAGCCTAGCCTAAATTCAGAACTGAAAAAAAACGAGCAAATGGGGTCGGAATCTACTAGCCCTAAAAGCATAATGTGGAAAATGTTTTAAGAGCTGCGAAATTGTATTGCAATAATAAAAATAACAGTGCATAAATTGGAAAAATGGCTTTTGTTTTGCTTTATAATTTTTGATAATATTGGTTCAGATGGAATTTTTTTATTTGTTTGGTTTTTCAGCTCGATAATGATGCACCCAGGGATGCATTTACTGTCTATGAAAATATTTCATGAAGCGTTCCAAAATTAGCTCCGAGCAACTAAAAGTTGGTTAAGCTTAAATGAAATAGTTTTTTATTAAATATTTATTCCTGGTATTTAGTAAAAACCATTCATCTCAATACTAATATATGAAATGAAAGTAAATAAAAATCTACGAATACATTTCATGAATATTTTGTCATAGGGCCATTATTAAATACGGACATAACTTTGTCGGGCGTTGGTACTGACGTATATAGAATTAATGAGTTAGAGAGAGATAAATATACAAGCTCAAGCGCTAATTTAGGTATACTTGTATACCTGTTACTCGTCTGGCATATACTCCAACTGCGAAAATAATGACAATTATAATCTATTTAGATGCATATTTTAGGTAAATATTATATCGTCGCCTGGATAAAAGATTGTCACAAGTTACTTTCGGTAACTCACAATTGAAGTTTGGAATGCAATTTCTCAGGAACTAGACTACAGATTTTCTCCAAAGTGTCGGAGAATGCTATGTACTAGTTCATGAAATTCTTAAATTGTTTTATTTTTTTAGTTTAGTGTCAACCATTTATGAGTTTAATAAATTTTTGTCGAATACGATATTTGTAAAAAAATTTGCAGTCAGTTTCAATGATATACTCCAAAATGTGATAACAATTTTTATAAATTAACGATACTTTTTACTAATCAGCCTAATCATGAGTTTCGCCCGAACCAAATTTCGCCAACAGTTTTTTCATCCACCTGTAGTGAATACACGCAAACGAAAAGTAAAAAGTGACCCGGTTCTAGGAAATGAAACTCATGATAAAGCTGAATATGTCGGAAACTAAAGAAGAACAGATAACTCTATTTGAAAGATTTTGATTAGTTTAGTACGACAGCAATACTAACGCAATTTGTACCAAATAGCCGAAAACATTTTAGTCAATTACTCGGAAACTAAAGAAGATATCCAAAAACCACAAATTGTCA